TGAGCACGCACTCAACGGCAACGCTGTAATCCTCCACTCACAAACATACCGCCAGGCAACCCATTCAGGATCGACGTGAGCACGCACATAGCGGCAATACTGTACTCTTCCAATCAGAAACCAACTTTTTCCCAGGGAAAACCAAAAAACAAAAAACAACATCTTTTGGGAAACTATGCGGCCAGACTCCAAAAAGATGGTTTTTCCTAGGATAAAGTTGGTTTTGGGTTGTAAAACCAACTTTTTCCTAGTCTTTTCCTAGGGAAAACCAACAACATCAATGTTTTTTGGAGGTACTGTTGATGGACAAAATTCTGCATGACCCAAATATAGTATGGTACCATGAATCCCATGGTTTAGGTATATAAGGTCATGCAGGATTTTGTCCATCAGCCGTATTGCACAACATTCGACACCGAGAAGCTTTGTACAAGGACTGAGGCAAGCATTCAATGTAACATTATAGATAAATGCAGCTCGGGGAGAGTAGAACGATTTTTTGCGCATTCCTGATGCTTCGAACGGTTTTGTTTGTGCATTCCTGACGCTTCGAATACAGTGTGGATTCTCCTGGATTCGGTACATATTTTGCTTTGCTGCAGATTGTGTCAACCTAACTTGTGCAGTGGTGATCAGTAGTGCTTTGTTTGGGACAGGCTCTGATGGCAAGCCTCACAGTGTGTGTGTGTGTGTGCCTTTGTGTGTGGGTTTTGCTTGAAGTACGAGAGATATGCCCAGTGCCAGGCACAATGTTTTGTCCATGCTGCCGTACATTTCCAACATGACCGGAATCTTGGCTCGGCCTTCTGTATTCGGAAGCTTTCCTCGTCTCCGCAGCCCACAGTGACTTGCTGCTTCTGCTTCTCGAGCTATCCGCAACCAAAGTGTTGAGGCTGAATTGGTCTGAGCAGTGCCAGAGCTTTGTGAACTTGTCTGTTAAGGACCGGGAGAAGGCTTGCGGCTGCCGGAGAAAACCCTGACAGACCCTCTGCAGGAAAACAAGGCACTGGAGCAAGCTTCTGAAGTGTTTTGTCTTCCTTTCTTGCTTTCCCTCCCTCGCTCCCTCTCTGGCTTCGACCCTGCAGACTGATGATCCAATACACGCAGTGGTGCCTGGAAGTTCAGCTCCGGCCGTACCGTTTGGGGACCGAATGCTAAGAGTGGCCGTAAACGTTGGAGCTGTCTGTGGCAGTTCATATGCAGTTGCTGCGGACTGGGAACCGAATGCATGCAGTGATTTGGGTCTCTGCCAGTACACCGGCTGACTCAAGAGCGTGAAAGCAAACGAACGTTTACAACATCAGGCAGCCAGCAAATCAAGCTAAAAGCACAAGCAATAGCAAAGACAAGCACAGACTACCTGCAGCCTCTTACACTTCGAGCCGGTTTGTCTCCGTAAAATGCCGTAAAATAGAAAGCGCATTTCAGAACGAGCCACGCCAACTATGTTTGGGTGGTCGAGATGGTTAGAATGTGGACCATGGTGGATTCGCTTACCGCACATGGTTACAGTGGGTGCCATGATGCCTAAAACCATGTTGCGAAGTCCATGCCTGTGTTATCCTTGCATTCATTGGCAACGCTGGCATCAGAAATGACAGCAGTGCAGCAAGGATTTTAGGTTTTCGTTGCATTCAATGTCACTTTGCAAGTGCATGTGGTTGATCGGACCACTCTCCCGTATCGTGGAATATCGTGGAAGAGCTTCGCATCCACGATGAGTTGTGCCCTTGCATGGTTTGTGACTGGGTTGGACGGAAACGCAAGAAGTCAAGCACGTACGAACGCGTGCAGTCCTGACGATCCGGGAACATAAAAAGCGTTGACTCAAGCAGAGGACGAAGGGTCAAAGACAGAGACAGAGACGCAGGCGAAGAGATCGAGAGACGGAGGACATACCAGAAGGGAAGAGCTCACACAGATTGCTTATAATATACGAGAACTGGTTTTGCAAAGGAGAGACTGGTACGGGCGGTCAGAGAACGAAGGAACAAAACAATCGACAAAGCAAGCGACACAATGCACACACTCCGAGATTTGGTGCGGAGTGTTCCTTCCAAGACTTTGTCGTGACAACTGTGAAGGGCGCGTCGCAGAGCCTGGCTGCAAGTGCTCCAGAAGCGGCGTGCAGGCAGGCACATAGGAGACCCTGAAAATTTATGCCGTTGTCAGGCGGACGTTAAGCACCCGGTTGCAGACTCGGTTGCAGGCAGAGCATGCTGGCATGGTTGCAAGCTGATCTTGGCACGGAGTCCCAAGGCGATGGGAGAAGCAACAGTAAACTTTGTCAGATCCGATGTTGTCCCCAAGCACGATGCCTTCCAGGGCCCACAGCCGCTGATTCAGCAGTGCAATCCGGGTGGTCTTCAGCGACAAGCGCGACGAACCCGAAGGAAAGTCGAGGGTTGAATCGATAGAGCGTGTTTGCAATGCAGCAGTTGGTTTACGAGAAGGGCGAGAGGTTGCTGCCTCGCCAATCGTGTCTTACAAACTGCAACTGTAAGTGCAGCCGGCCGGCGGCCATGCGGTTGGGCACGCGTTAGTTACCGTTAGTTGACTACATCACATTACCTGCAGGACTCCGGGAAAAAGAAGAAAAGCAAGGCCATGCACTCTTGGAAGTTGGTGCCCCTTGAGCGCCTCACTGCTTTCGAGGCCCGCTTGATCGCCTGCCCTTGGCCCCTTGAGGCAGGCTTTAACAGCCCGCTTTCGCCGTGGACCACCGTTGAGGGATTCTCTAACAAAGGAAGCCTGCTGCCCTTGGCCCATGGCCACGCGCGACAAGACTGGTGGCACTCAGGACCAACGATTTCGAGTGTGTTCTTGCATGTGAAGTGCATGGAAGTTCAACGTTGAAGTTCTTTCGTGAAACAGGCGGGCGCAACAGCAAGCGGCGCTACTGGGGGCGTCTTGCGCCACGCTGCCTGCCGGATGTGGAATGTAGGGAAGCAGGATGCTTGCTCGGACCGATGGGAAAGGTCAAGGTTCCGATCGTTCTGTGAAGGGATCTCGCGTCGGACATGCTCGGGCTGATCGGGCACAGAATGCTGTTAGTGGGATGCGTGTCGTGCCAGGCCCGATGTCTGCCCACCCATGAGCAAAGATAATAGTGCGTTGTTTTCCACGTGTGCAGGGAATGTTCTAGAGCACGTGTTTCCGCGAGGACATTTTCTTCCATTCACTGGATGTCACAAGGTGAACAACAAGTGCGAGGTGTCAGCGCCGGTGCAGCAGCCTGCTCCGGCTTCACCTGCTGTCAGCTCCGCAAGGACCGGAACTTTCAATCCTGTGTGTATTGTACCTGGATCCGGCGCCATGTGCCGCAGCCGTTGCCACAGGACCCCCATGATGTCTGTTGGCTGTCCAGTGACCTTCTTAGACACTGGGAAGCGATGTTTGTCGATATGTGAGACGGAGACGTTGTGATGCTCAGGTACAGAGGGTGGCTTCAGTGCCTTCGGTGCAAGAGTCTCCGGTGGCCTCACGTTACAGGACCGTGGGCTTCAGATTTGAACTACCCCTGTGCCGCCACGAAGCCTGCCGATTGTTTTGCATTTCTGAAGTAGCAAGCACCGCTGCCCTGCAAGGGGGCCATTGATGCCAGGCTGCTGTGCTGCAAGTTGTGGCAGGCTGCGACACAGAGGAGGTATTTGGTCGCTCTGTGCTAGGATGGTTGTCTCATGTTGTCTCCTAACGGTGATGCTCGTCTATAAGTTACAGGAAAGCAGCTCTTCAAATCCTGAGCCCAGGCTTGGTGACAGACTTCCTGGTCTCGCGCGAAGGAGCGTGCACGCTGGCAGTTGGTGGACATCGTAGATTGGTAAGTACATGTTCCACGCATGACTGAATACTGATAGGTTAGACACACAGTGGCAATATCAAGGAACTATTGGCGCACAGAGGCGATGTCATGCATGATGATGGCGAGCATAAGGGCCTAGCCTACAATGACGGCTTGCGAGCTCAACGAACCTGTCCAGCCTTTCAGGGGAGTTGTCGAACAAGACCATCGCGTCAGAAGGTTCTCCACAGGACTTGGAACTTCTGCTTGCATCTAGAAGGGTGTTTCGGAGCGGAGCAAGATTGTTGGGATTTGATGCAGCACTGTCCTTGCGCAGCCTAGCTGGGCTTGTTGAGGGGATAATCGCAATGACAGGCGGTCCTCTGCAGGAACTTTGTCGTTGATGGATTGCAGTGGGATCGCAGCTAGGGATAGATGGCTCCAGAGGAATAGCCCTCAACTTCTCCCCTCGTGTGACCCTGGCATTGAGTAGACACTTGCTTGGCACATGGGTCATCGAATTCATGACATGGTCTGAGTCTGAGTTCACGACTCTGCAGCAGTCTGTCGAAGCAGGAGCTGAACATGTCGGATTCCACACCCACAATGCTCTCGACGCAATCGAGACTGTCAACACTCTCGAAGTCAACACACTCCTTCTGCATCTTGCCTACAGCAGCATGAAGAGCCGCTTCGCTGCGAACCCTGGGCTGTATGGTTCTGCTCGTGGAACTGAGGCACAGGTGACCAAGGCGACAAGGAGTTTCTGGAACCAGAGGAGCTCAGGGTTTGGGATTTTGTGGTTGCAGGCGTCTGGTATCCTGATCGCAATGTAGTGAAGCGAGTGAGCTCCAATGATTTGCTACAGTATACAGTTCCGTGCTATGACTGTTGCAACTCCCAGCACGCGCATTGCTGGCCGGAGGAGCAGCCGTGGCAAGGCAACGGCGACTGGGTTCAGAATTGGCTCGCCTACTCTATGGCTTCGACGAGAAACATCAGAAATCTTCTATAGGCTCCTTGTGCCAGTGAGGCTCACGGAAGAAGCAGAAGAAAAGGAACGGGGCGCCTTGACTGCCGAGTCATGAAGGGAGAAGCAAGTTTAGATGCCACGGCTATTTTGCTGCATTGTAAACTGAAGTAGTGCTAACTGTAGTAGACTTGCTGAAACAATCTTGGGGCATGCAAAGCATGCATTTCTGTGTGCAGTGGAGAAGCAGGCAATCCCACCAAAGCTCCTCCTCCAGCCGTGGTGGAAAAATCACTGGCACATTGCCTTATCTCGTTCAGGGCTGTTTGGCACAGATGAGGGCACAAGAAGGCGGCAGCAGCAACAGGTAAACGGACACAAGCAAGAAAGTGTTGAGGGTGTGCATATCAGACCGTGGCCATGTGCTCTGCGCGCTTGCCGTTCCCAAGGACGCCCATTGTGTTTTTTGTGTGGTCTAGTGGCTATGGGATTCATGTTTGGTTTTTCCCCTTGTGGAGCATGTTATATTTTGTGACTACCGTGGACGTACTGACTGAGCTTTTGTGATCGACTTTCCTGTCATGGTTAGGACACCAGCCTAAGTATCCAAGGCTGCTTTCGTTTGCGAGTACAGCTTGATCCCTCGCCAAGAGATCTTGGAGGCGCCAAGCATGCGCCGTGGAAAGCTGCCACTGACACCTGTGGACATCGGATCCGGATGCCTTGTCATCAGTGCATGAAGTGTCGAAGTGATCTTCAGCCGCAGCAGGCGCTTGCTCAGCAGTGCTACGGCTACAGGAACGAGCAACTAGAGTCTAGAGGAAATGCGGTCGAACTCGTTGCGAGGTTTCATGTCAGGTCGCGACCGCAGAGCTCAGATTTTAGAGGCGCTACTGCAGTCCTGTTGTTATCCCGTCTGCCAGGCCTTTGAGTTCGTTCCGAAACTCTACGGCCGCAGCACGGCTGATTGGGCTAATGTGTCTGTACACTCGTCTCACGATATGCTTGGAACGCAGCCCTGCGGCTGTGAGCTTGGTGCACCTTGTGAAAAGTCTTACTTAGTATTGTTGTTGCTTAGTTGTTGCTCGAGCTTAAGTTGTCAAGTGCCCCAGGTACAGGCAAAAACATGAAAGATATTGCTGCCAGCTGTGGTGGCAAGGCGAAGAGGGTGCACGGTTTCGAGCAGAGATGTGCGTGCAGTTCGACTCAGCAACATTTTGACTGCTGGTGCAGCTCACTGGCTCGGTGAACTGCTCTCTCTGTGGGCAGAGAAGTGCTGCCACTTGCATCGACTCTCACACCTTCTGACTCACACGACCTTCTGAGAGGTCCGCTTGCGCGGGCGTGGCAGCCGATATTACGAGCTTGGCGGCCTCGAGGCTCGACACCAGAGCTGAGGGATGCTGAGGAGAAGACTGCTGGCTTGTGACATTGTCTTAGTGTCTTAGAGTCTGTGACGTCTTTGTTTCTTAGACCCGTGACTTTTGCTTCGTCTGCTCGGTCGCTGAGTGCTGCGAGTACTTGTGCAAACTTGTTGTGTTTGTACTGGCCTGAAAAGGGACGGTCAACCCGGAAGTGGAACGCGTGAACAGCAAAAGGAGGCCGCATCTGTGAAACCAGACCGGAGTGGGCGGCCCTTGGACAGAGTGGGCTACCAACGCACCCGAAGAGGAATGGCCAAAGTTCTACAGTGCGAAGCCCTGCAAATTGCTGCGGTAACTGCCCATGATGCGATCTCATGTAACGTGAGTGGTGAATTTGGGCACTGCGCAGCAGCTACTTCTACGACATGTCGGAGGGCTCCCCCAGCCCTCCAACCCAGAAGGCGGTCGGGCGTGCTACATCGGACTTCATGGAAAGTTGTGCTGCTGCAAGCACAGAAGGCTTTGGGCTGCTCAAAGTATGCTGGCAATGGGACGCTCGAAGCTGGAGGGTGGTTCCTTTCTGTTGGCAAAGTGGCACTGAAACCGTGACTGAAACCCGTGCTGTAGGCAGTGCTGGAGTTCGCGTGTGAGTGGTCTGGAGCGTCTGGAGGTTTCATATAGGATTTTGGCGCAAGCTCGGCATGCGCTTCCCTTGCATAGCTGGGGCGATCGTGGACAAGCATCGCAGTTGGGTCTGTTGACTGATCTTTTGACCAGTTCGCATTGTGACAGCATGGAGCCGATTGCCAGTGCAGTCTTGCAGATTCTTGCAGCCGCACGGCAGTATTGCGCCATCGCCACGGAACGCGAGGTCTGAGGAGATTTCGGCGTGAGAGCAAGGGCAGCGGCCGCTCTCAGCAGGATTTTGTCTTCAGTCGGAGAGGACGGACCCTTGCACTGGGGGTCCAGGGTCTTGCCGCGACATGTGGACCTTGGCCAGCCCCGGCCAGTTTTTGGGAGTTGCTTAGGTTGGAGGGCAGTTCCGATATCACGAAGCTGCCAGACTGAACCAGACAGCACTGCTGCGAGGGGCAGTGCAGAGATGGCAGCTAGAAGCGCTGCTGGCTACCTCCACAAGGACGGGCCGCTGCACTCTTCCGCGTTTCAGGGGAGATCATTTTCAGCAGCGGTTGTGGCCGCAGCCCCGGCGGAGAGGGCACGGGCATTACAGGAACTCGATGATGAGGTCCTAGCTCGAACCACGGTCGGTCCCATGGAGTTTGGACTATGTGGGTTTGGGGGCGACTCTGCGAGGGTCGGTGCTTTCCCTCTGGACGAGAAAAACATTAGGGCAGTGGATGCTTCGCTCAAGCGAGGCCAGTACAGGTTGGCCCTGCAGTACTACGGCCACGATATCCTTCCAGGTGCGAAGGTTGCACATTCCAGTTTCCCCTTCTGCCAAGGCTTTGATTAGGGATCGCATTCGCTCGATCGAACGAGGTTTGGGGCCATCGGCATTGAAGGATTCATTCGATGTGTGTTTGTTGGGGGCACACGTGGTTCCGGGCTCCGAGTTCGAGGCTTTTTCCTGGGAGAGCTTGTCAGCTGCTGTGGGCGCAATTTTGTTGCCAAGCTACTTCTGCATGCGGGAGATAGAGATGGCATCGGCCTCCTTTAGCCACATATGGGATGGTTCACTTGTTATTGCCTGTCCATAAAACAGCCACGTCTGGCGATCTGACAGAGAGGAGCCTGGCATGCGGTTGCGCAGTTAGACAGCAGTCGCTATGCCCATATCATTCCTCTCAGCGTCATTGGCAGCGCTTGGAGATTCTCCAGGGCGTGGATAGGCCCTAGAGTGCAGGAGAGCTGCTCAGCAAGGACCAAGATGCTTGCTTGCATTCGCGAGACCTTTAGAAAGGCAGGCATCAGCACGACGTGGCCAGATGAGGCCGGCGCTCTTATCGAGAGGTTGGGGGCCACGTTCTTAGGGTTTCCGGCGCTCAGCGTTTGTCTGCTTGGCCTTTGCTCGGAATTTGGTGCAGCTGCATGGTCGCTGGTCCTCGGTGGTCGTACGGAAGTGTTTGCAGAGTGCTCCATTGGTGCAGGTTCCATCAGCCGTTGCTCAGGCCCATCGTCTGGCGAAGCAGTTCATAGGCTTAGGCTCCCGCATGATCCCCGCCGACTGTAGGATGCAGCTGTGGTCGATGCGGATGGCTTCGAGGAGGTGTCTTGCACGCCGCCGCTTGCTGACAGGTCAGTTGAAGGTCAGGGCGAGCGAGCCGCGTCGAGGATTGAGTTTAGGGGCTTTGCTGATTCGATGGATCAGGGCGAAAAACTGGTGGTGAACGGTAGGACGCGCAAGGCTCACCAGCAAGATTCGGAGGAGCGAATCAGTGATCACACGCATTTCTGCAGGACAAGCAACGATCGGCCGAAGTGGGCCCGTTGCAAGAAGTGTTCGCACCTTCATCGGCTCCGGCGGTGGGGCCGTAAGTTCGGGGAGTGAGGCTGGCCCGAGCTCTCTTGACTCGTCGTCGTCCTCGAGTAGTTCTTCCTCGTCGAGTTTTTTGTGCCTGCGCGTCATCGAAAATGCAGAGTCCGGTCTCTCGTCTGAGTGTGCTTTTTGCACGACGGGGCACATAACGGTACACTTTGCGGCCAGGACTTGGGGCTGTGACACTTCGGGTGCCAGGACTGATGGTGGTGGCTCAATTTCAGCCATACGGCAGATTTGGTAGACTTGGCCAGTTGGTGCCGGTCGCTGGAGAGCGGAGGCTCGGGACAGCGCGCGAGCTCCGCCGTTTGCTGCTGTTTGAGCATGGCCCCCGAATCGGCTCCAAGAGCGAGCCTGGACACGATCGGTCATTGCATCGCACACCCTCAAAAGATCGGCAGCCGAGGGTTAGAGCAGGTTCCGTTGGATTCACAGTCATGCTCGTCGTGCTAGAAGCAGCAGAGATGAGCCTTGAACGCAACAAACCCAAAAGGCCAGTTTGCAGCCTGCCATCCTCGGCCGCTTCCCAGCTGCGCAGTAGTTGCAAGCGCATACACCACCATGAGTGGCATCGGAGGACACAGGCTCCAGCTGCTCCCACGTGCGAATGGGCTCAACAACCGCCGCCTGCAAGAGCGGGACGCAAGAGGCGGCTGGCTTAGTGTGAATGGGCGCAGGCTCATCACGCCTCCCCGTTGATCAGCGCGGCGAGGAGGAGTGGATCGTGATGGAGGCCCTTGAGCCGGAGGCCACAGAAATCAAGTCGGGTGAGTTGGTGCCTTCATTGGACGGTGCTCATTTGCACTTGGTCAGGCATTCTCGTCTGTCTACCATTGGTGCTTGCTTGCACCGTGGGGCGAATCGAGCGAGCCTTCAAAGCAGGACTGTCACGCAGCGCTCGACGGGACAGGGCACCAAGCCAAAGATTTTTTCTCCGTCGCTTCTGCAATCTACTGCATCTTGTACGAGCCTTCTGGAAATTGGCCACGGATCACCAGGAGACTCTGAACGCTTTAGTGCCACAGCTTGCAGAGCTTTGAACCTATTGGCCCTCCAAGGCAGAAGTCAGCAATTGAGCTAGCCACCAACGGCAGCGAGTGGATAATGCGATTCCCGCAACCAAGCCCCCACAAAGAAATCCTGTCCAAAGCGCGCACATGGCCAGCAAGATGAGCTCAGCGGCACGCGGCTGCGAATGGCACCAGAGGCTGAGTGCTCGACCCCAGCAAGGTGCATGCCCTGGCTCACTCTACTTCGCTCAAAGAATGAAGGCCAAAGGACGGTCCCCGATTCGGACAGAACTGCAGCCGGAAAACTGCAGACGAACCCACGTCGGCCTGCCGAAATTATTGGGCTGCGACGCCAGGATCTGGTATCTGGGGGGTCCTTCGACGACGAAGTGCTCTACGTTTGCATAGGCCAGCCAAAGATGCGACACCGAGCGGCTGCTTCACAACATGTGCGGGTGGATCATAGACATTGTTCCACGAGAGGGGTGTTTATGCTACAACTCTTACGCCCGAAGTGCCAATGAGCGACTGTGGAAACACGTTCTGGAGTGCATTCTACATTGGCTGTGTGCGTGTGATGTGAGAGACGAGGGAGAGAAGTTCAGTGCATGTCCATGTCATAAGCTTTCTTGGTTGCACAGTGCCGTGCTGTTCAAACTTAGTGTGCTCCTCGCGCAATGGCGCGGGGCTACTGTGAGCGGGACAGGGACAGAGACCGACACCGTGGACGAGACAGCAAGAGAGGAGAAAGGGAGGGACACCAGGTCACAAGTACCCAGAGAACTGCCTTGTACCAGGGTGACTGCGACGCAGTAGTACAAGGCTTTGAAACAGAGGTGAGCTGTTGAAGGTTCGCTTGTACGAAGTGTTGTTCAACAAGCTCGGGGAGTTCGCGGCGGCCAAAGGGCAGAGGCGACAGCAGCAGCAAAGGATCTCTTGGACCTAGGAGCCAGCGCAGGCCTCACCTCGGCGACGAATGGGAACAAACAGCCAAAAGGAGACGTTGCTTGGGTGCTGGTGCTCGCCTTCCATTACTCGGCGGTGGGTCAAAAGGCAGGCGTCTCGGGTGCTGCCCACAACTGCGGCCCGTCGTGGCCTGAGCTGCTAATTGCTGGTGCCAAGCGCCGGAGTGAGTTATCGGGGCAGGGACGCAGAACTCAGCGCCGTGCAGAGTAGAGCGAGTAGAGAGTGTCACACTGTCCGTCCACGCTAGTTTGTTTCTAGTCGTACGGAGCCTCTGAAGCCAGCGCAGTTTTGCAGCACCGGTCCTGTCCGGGCTTCAGCGGAAGGGGTCGTGACCCCCCGCTTCAGAGCAGGTCTCGACTTGGCTCAAAAGACTGGGTTTCGTAGTTTGGTTTGTGTCGCGCCTCTAAGGTGTGTCGAAAAGTAGTCGTTGTCTCCTGTTTATGTTCCTCTAGTTGTTTTCCCCTTCCCCATTTTTTCGCGAAGAGGCGGTGACAAAGAGTCGTGTCGAACCTTTGTTGCATGGATTCAAACTGCGCTTCAGGATCCAACCAGAGGGTGAGAAAAGTTCGTGCGCGAATGGCATGCCAGAAGGCGCATGCTTTCGGTTTTGGACTTTGTCGATTAGTGCAGCATGCACCTTTTGACAAAGTGGCACTGAAACCGATGCCGTAAGTACCGGCCCGAAGTTTTGGTGCGCCCGCCCACCTCACCCTGTATAGAAGGGCATATGGATCTAGCATCGGGCTCTCTCAGGCATCGGTGACAAAAAAGTCAATGCCCGTTGCGCGTGTGTCGAACCTGTGTTGCATGGATTCAGATTGCGCTTCCGGATCCAACCTGAGGGTAAGAAAAGTTCGTGCGCGAATGGCATGCCAGATGGCTCACGCATTCGGTGCATAACACTTTGTCAAAGCTTGAACAAAACTGGCAGCCAACCCTGCGCACCTCAACAGGAGAGCCAAGAATGATGGCAAGAGGTGGCCGAACCTTACTAGCATGCGGACAAATGGAGCAGACCACTGACCCTCGAAAGGAACGGCGCGAGGGGAAGGCAAGACGGCGCAGCGAAAAAAATCACCAGTGTGCGATGGCAGGGCCGGAAAGGAAGCCGCAACTGCGCAAGCTGTCGGCGACCCCTGTTCTGCAGGAGGAACAAAAAAGGCACATGTGAGTCACATGTAAACGAAGCAAGAATTCACATATGAGTGTGTCTGCACAAACGTGAAAACGTTACTGGTGCAGAGCAGAAGTCACAACGAAGCCCGCGAGCCTGGGAAGCCCTCAGCAACATCCGCCCTTCTCATTGCCTCGAGGCACCAATGAACCTGAAGCTTTACCTGAGCTGTGCCAGCCAGAAGAGTTTCGAGGCGGGGCAAAACGGGTAAGAGTTAAACCTGTGCTTTGCATAGCCGCATATGCCACCTGGCATCCTCCTTTTGCTCATTGGGTTTTGCCTGTGGTGGAACGCCGCCATTTTGTTTTTCATGGACAAGATAGCTATGTTGCACTGAATGCTAGTAGGCATAAGCTGAATGCATCTTGCTGAACAGCCTCTGAGAGTTGTTCGCAGGTTGGCCACAAGATGGTCCTCAACCTCTGCCTTGCAGCTGTTTCTGTGCCTCACCAGACGTGCATGGTTTGTTGCAGCCTGCCTCCCGGTGCCATACGGCTCGGACAAAGTTGCAGCAACCATCCTTGCATGAGGCTGCAGGTTGTTCGGCCGTTACCGCCGCCCTGCAATGGATCGGCTACGGGGACGCCGCTTCATAAGTGCTAGCCTAGAGGCTTTGCTGAAGATCGCCAGGCCGCACCAAATGCAGGTATTTACCAGTGAATACTGCGTGATGCTTCGTGGTGTGCTCTCGAATTTACATCCCAATGCAGATGGGCGCAAGGTCAGGCTGGTCACTCTTGGCCGCGTTGCGGACAACTTTGAGGATTGTGCGACTGCAAGGCACAGGCCCTAATGTCTTCTGGAAAATCTGGACATGAGGCCAGAGCAGCGGAACTAAGAACTTGGAGCGGCTTGATCAAGAAAGCTCATGGAAAAGGCCGGGATGGATGAGGCGGATGAGCTATTGTTGCCGGCGCCAGAAATGTCTCCACGATCAAGATGAAGGAGGGCACGAAGTTTACTTCAGTTGAAAACCATCGAGATGCGCTCGCAAGCTCGAACAAAGATCAGCGGGCCGGACTCGAACTTTTGTTGCATGTGAATCCTTCAAGCGTTCTCTAAGAGGACGTGAGTACCCAGTATGTTGTTACGCCATATCTGCAGCTTGCGAGGGGTTGGAACTTGGGGCAGAAACGGGCTGTTAGGAGAGCTTACTTCCGCCTTGACATGGAACCTGCAAGTTGTTGAAGGGGAGTGGAGTGCGCCGTGCGCAGGTCCTCGACCTTTTTAGGCGCCTGGAATCTGAGTTCTTGCGCTTCGGCAGCCAGCAGCCCAGCCTCGGGTTCTTGGCCTGGTTGCGGTTACTTGATGTTATTTGTTCGTTCCTGGTCGTCCTGCCAGGGCTTACTCACTTTGCAGGCCTGTTGCCTTTTCATCTTTGGGTTTTGTTGTCTGCTGTCTCGGCAGTTTGTCTAGTTGGTCTCTGCTTCTGGCCTATGTGGGGCCAAACATTGGAATTCGATTGGCATGCTGAGGCCTAGCTCCAGGCTGTAAACAGAGAGAGCAGGACAGAGAGAGAGAGAGAGAGAGAGAGAAAGATAGAGTCGTCTCGGCTCAGCCATGCAGGTCGAGATGGCAAGGCCATCGTGTTGGGTCCTGAGAAGGGAAACAGAGCAGTTCTGATATTGTTCTGAGGGAATCCAGTGTATCCGCTGTCACTGAAGATGCTGAGATCGAAATACGGAGCTCCACGCAGGTCTGATGGCAAGTCAAGTTTGTTTACTTTCTCAATTTCAAGGGGTGTGTCACGTGCAGCATGCCCTAGTATTGGCAGCAGGCAGAGTCGCAGCCCTTGGGAAAGCTAGGGGCTCCTGCCAGAGAGAGCATCTCGCTTCCGTGGGCAGATGTTGACTGCTGTCATTGTTTTGGCATGCGCGGGATGCACCCCACCCGCTCGTCAGTGGGAAATCGATACTGGCGAGGGCCGAAAGCTAAAGATACCGATCTCCTCCAACCAAGTTTGGGATACTTTCGGCCATCAGTATCTGCATGCATGGTGCTTCGCAAGCTCATGGTCCATATTCGCTTCTCGTTCTGGTCGCTGCGAGCCTTCAGTTATCCGGCAGTGGTTGATGATTCCGCACTTCGCAGCTGCAGCCATAGTGACACGAGCAGTACTCTGTTCGACACTAGCTGGCTCGACTCGTCAACGCAACATGTTATTTCCTTTGCACACCTTCGGGGTTTAGCTTGGAAATGTTGAACGGTCAGCAATTGTTTCTCCGAGTCACGACGCACGTTGCAGCACCATGGGTATGTCAGTTTTCGTTCAGACCTTCGGTAGAACTCCAGCTGGAATCGCTCTGCCCAAGCTTTCTGGCATAGACCAGAAACTGATTGGTGTGATGCGATTTTCGATCAGACGTACATTACAAGCTGTTAGAGCCCCTGATTCAAGAAACCCTTTCTGAAAGGGCTGTTGGTTGCGGGTCTAGAGGGTGCTGAATTCGAGGTGTTGAATCTAGGAACTCACAGAACAGGCTTTGAGCGCCTCCAGCGTCGAAGAAGATCGAAGAAAGTCAGATGCCGGCCGCCTCTGATTCTGTTTGGAAGGTGGTTTAGCAGGGTGTTGAGTGGTGACAGTACGGGCCTCTTCATTCCTTTGGAGAGGCTCAGGTGCCTGGCTCTGGCATTTGGAACGGGTCCGCTCTCTACTTCCCGAAGCTCGCGGGTGGGGCAGGCATGGATCCTGCTTGCTTCTTTCCCAGCGCAGCTACCCGTACCATGGAGGCGCACTCGATCATCCAGGCCCGACTTGTCAGATCTGGTCAGTCTTCAGGCACATTCCCTCGCACGAGTCGCCCGAGACTCATCGCTCTCCTTTTGACGGGCCTGATTTGCTTGTCGGAGCTGTGCTGACAATGCTATAATCTTGACGAAGATACGGCGCAAAAAGCCTTGCTGCGCGTGTCGAAGCTATAGGGCTTCTGTCAGGATGCGCACACCTGGGCAAAGGGGTTAAGGCTCCAGCTGCATCCAGTGATGAACTTCAACATCACAAGGGGTTGCAGCTCGGTTGCTTCCTGACTTCCTTATTGCCTGGGCTTGTAGGGAATGGAGCTTCGCGGGAGTGGTGATGTGTGGACAACGAGACATCTCATAGTCGGCAATGGCACCCTGGTCAAGTCCCATTCCCTCCTTTTGTGCGCGATTCTCGTGAGAGGGCCGGCATGCCTTGCCATTTTCCACCGCATGATCCCAGCATCGACTTTCTGGACAGGATCAACGTGCCTCCTCAACAAACCTCCCGGCAATCCGCAGAAACGGTATACCTTCTGGCTTTCAGCTAAAAGTACCGATGTTCGAAGAAGTTGGCAAAAGAAAGGCCAGAGCTCCCAGCGATGTTTCAATAGCTGCTAGACTTGCACTGATGAGTGCGGTTGCTTTGGAACGGCAAACTGGTGCTTGGTTGCTCTTTAGCGAGAGACAAGTAAATCTGTTGAGCCGCATGTCAGTTTACGTCAGCTTTTGTTTGTCAGGCCTACATTGAGATTCGAGATGTTTTGTCATATCTAAGACTGTGGTTGTTCGAGAGAGGTGCTACGAAATTGGTTCTCTCTGTGTTTTGATGGCTCCTTCGTACTCACGAGGTGCAGCTTGCGAATGATTGAAAACTGTCTTCGACACATACAGTGCACTCGTGAGGGGAGGAAGCCGGGCACCAAGATTTCTTCAACAACCTCTGCAGCCCTTTGGGCAAGGCGGCAGCAGGACTTCTGTTTACATTCTAGGTTCTAGATGCTCCGAAAGTTGTTTGAGGACCATCGACGCTGAGATCATTCGGTTGGGTAGGGACATCGTGATGTGGGCAGGGCTAGCTTAATCTCGCCATAGCTGCAGAAAGATACCGCTTGATGCTCACTTGTCCAAGCTAGGCAGGCTGGTAGCATCGTCTATTTGCCTATTTCCATGTATCTCCAGAGCTGCGCCAAACTCTTTTCACGTGTGCTTTCTGTCGGGCCATGAAAGGGAGAGAGCTGGACACAAGATGCGTCAGACAAAACCTGGAAGATCTGTCAAACAGCAAGTCGGTACGAGGAGTTGTTTGTATGTTATGTCGAGCTCAACCAATCTTGGACCAGCTGTTTCAGCCAGACGGTGCAGTCCAGCGATGTACACCAAGCCAGAGTCGCAGGTTTGCTTTCGGCAACTCAGGTTTAAGTAGTCGACGCATCTTGGAGCTGTGAGATTGGCATGTTGATTGCAGTCAACCTTGTTGTAGAAGCTACAGAGTCTCGAGAAGGCAATCCCGCGTCAGTGGTGCATCTGCGAAGCACTTGTCGGCCGCACGATCCTGAACATGTTTCGACTTCCAGGCAGCATCGAACCGACGATTTTGTGTTAAAACCGATGGTTTCCTAGATGTTTCCGTTGAAGAACATGGAATTGGCTGGGCCCTGTTCGAAGCTGTTGGTCTGCACGTCAGTGCAGCAAAAACCAGCTTGCTTTTCTTGTGCAGTGCCATGGTTGAATCTGTAGCCTGAAGCTCAAGAGCCACATCAATCACCTCCAGGTGCTTGTTGTCTCATGTTCTTGCCAGCTGCTAATGCTCTGGAGAAGCAAGCTGTGTGGCATCCCAGTATACGCATATTCATGGTGTCGGATGTTGGAGCTCGCCCTGCCCCACTTCACCAGTAGGGGAACGCATCATCATCAACTTTTCGACTGCCAAGCCAGACCCCCCAGTGCCCCAAGCTCTAACTTTGCCGACGCTCCGTCCCTGCCGTTGACATGATTTGAGTGTGCTTGCAGTAGAAACGGTTGCCAGTGAGCTGGACTTGCTGCTGTTGGTCTAGTTGCATCCATGTCACCGAAGTAGCTCCCAGACTTTAGTATCTGCTTGACAAAATCTTCTCGACTTTCCCCAACAGTCGACACTGCTCGTCAGGAGACGTCTGCCAAAATGGCCTGGCCATGTTGGCTGTAGGTATGGACCCACGCAAGAGCGAACTTTTTAGTCCTGAGTCTTTTGCTCACTCCCATGACGAAGCAAAAGGTGCAGGACAAGCTCCCTTATTTTCGCAAGCCGGGGTGGGTCCCTGCCTCCCTGTCGGACAAGCTCAGTTAGATGGAGTCTGCCATGGCAGGCTTCAACAACAAAGGGCACGAAAACGTGAAGCCTGTCCATTCGGACGAGGCGATGGCCTCGGAAGGAGACCCGGATGTTGTTGCCATGGCAGCCGGGGTCCAGGATGTGATTTTGGAGGATGCCACCGAACTCTCAGCAGGCGACTTTGTCCTGGCAAGTTGTCGGAGAGGTGACAGTGCCCTCGTGCCCTGGCTGGGCCGCCCTGGCCTGGGGAGGTCCCAATCGATCTCGTCCTTGGTGGCACGGGTCCGCAACTCGTCCACCTGCAAAAACGTCTTGCAGAGCCCGTGGCCTCGGCAACCATCCCATGGTCAAAACCGAGGCCACCACAAAAAGGTCACCTTTGCGGAGGACTGCTTGATAAGGCCGCGGTCCTGAACATGGACGAAGTCCTCTTCCAGCTCGAAGGTTTTTGCGAGGTAGGCAACCAACGAGAAGACTGGCGCCATCTTTTCCAGTCTCGAGGGCACGAAGTGGACCAACCACGTGGTGGAACTACTCCTAGCGCAGCCAACAAGTGCAGCAGTCGCAACTCGGCCGGCCGATGTCATTGCACTGTCGAAGACTAAGCCCAGCGCTGTTGTCGAGCTCGTCGAGCGAACAACGAAGAGCTGCGATGTATGCTCAGTTTGGGATATGTCAGACTACATTGACTACATGGGCCACAGCAACTGCGGAAACGACTCCACACGTGGAGTCAGCTCAAGATCACGCCGCCCAACACCGTGGCGAACACAAAGTAGCAAGTAGATGCAGTCAGCTGCAGCACCAACCAGCAATATCACAACCCAGAGGATTATAAAGTGCATGCAACTGCGCTGTGCGCAGCATTTTTGCTTGGCATTGCAAACACGTAGCTGTGAAGTCTCAACTTGTGCATCTTGCAAAGAGGGGGTTGGGCTCCGAGGGGGGCACAGCTCCCCTCTTCAAGCACTGCAAGAACGAGCACATGAGTGCAAAACGAAATACAAACTTGTTTCATTGCTTGTCACCATTTGTAAGACTGCGAATGAGTGGTTCAAGAGGTGCCGCCACGTCAATTGTCTCATCGAAATCCGCTTCAGACAGCACTGCACGGACTTCTGTCCATGCTCCCGCATTTGCAGGTGGGGCCTGATTTTGAGAAGGATACGCCCGTCCTTCATTGGCTTCTCGAGAGCGCTGAATGCTCGACTTGATTGCTTCAAAAGAAGTAATCTTGCCATGGGCATCCGCAATCCGCGGACAAGCAGCACGCCGCTCAGTACTGTCCAACCTTGCCGCTCCGTCTGGATGAGGCTGTCGTTCTTGTGCCTTCTGTTTCCAAGAGTCCATTTGAGCAGCCATCAAATGTTTCGCGAGCTCGCCGTTCTGATCGAGCAACCAAGTCAGAGTTGATCAAGCTTCCGGCTCTCGAAGGTTGTGATCGTAATAGGGCAATTTTCGGCACATCTTCTGCATCTGTTGGGCTGTGCGCAGCGCACGACGCAACAACTGTAATCCCGAACCCCCTATGTAGACTCTGTCGCTCCCAACCATGGGTATGTCGGACATGTCTATGCCTCCGCGCTCTCAAATCTTTTGCAGGATTTTCTTGGAACAAAATATTTCGTGTCCCCATGGAAAATGTGTGGAGCTTTGCAATCGCCGCGAGCTGCAGGTTTCAGAGAGTATGGCGAAGGGGTGCAGAAGAAGGAAGCAATGTTGAGCTGCCTCATACGCCCCCTGTAGAAGCTCAGCACGTCATTCAATTTTTGCCGTTAGCCGGTTCTGTAGAAGACACAGCAACTGCTCACAGGTCATGCTGCGAGGTCTAGAGCTTTCGTTTTGCGATAGCCCACCAAGCACGTGGCCTCGCAACAGACGACGATGGGTCTTTCAACCTCACGAAACTTATGTGTAACGACCACATGGAGCTTATGTGTAACGACCGTAATATCTTTGAACCATCTGGAAGAAGCTTGCTTGCGAGACCTTCGCGCAGCTCGTGCAAGAAATCCGGCGGCAAAAAGAGTCAGCGTGTGTCGAGCAAAGCCACCAAAGGGTTGCTTCAGCGGGCCAGTCAGCAAGACAGTGCACACCAAAAACATATGGTGTACTCTCTTGTTTTTTTGCAATACCACGGGCAACTTAATTCCATGCCTTATAGACAGTAACAGTCCTTTGTTTGCTTAAAGAAGAAAGAACAAACTTGTTCGATACTGTTACGAGTTTGACATCGACCAAATTGTTATACTTTCAAGCACCCCTGAAGCTCCCATGGCCTTCCCTGTGCCCCAGCAATAAAGGGTCGAGGCTCCTCAGTTCACCAGCCTGAAAGGTTGTCGGCGCACGGCCGGAACAAGGACTGCTTTTGAATGTTGGTAATGTGTCGCTACGTTGTGGTGAGTTTGTGGTTGCTTAAATGCCGCTGGCGGTCTTTCAAAGATGTCTGAGCATCGATCTCGTTGCCGGCAACAGGAAGAGATTCTGGACGAATGCCACGACCTCAAGGCTAGCAATGGCAGCAATCGCTTCTTCGTAACGTTGGAAGGTCGCCTCATTCGATATGAAGGGTACGAACTATTGGACATCATGCTCATTCGTCGGTGTTCCAATGTGAAATCCTATGGCTTCTTTCGTAATCCTTCGAACTCACATTTTTCCCTTCATGGGTCTTTTTCTGAGACACAAATTGAAAGATTTAGTAGTCGAGTGCTTCACGAGCAATACGTGCTGAAGGATCTGATTCGTTGAAGGGAGCCTGAGACAGGAAGGTTTGTCTTCGTCAGCGATGAGCACAGCAAGGAGAAAGCCCAAGTTTGACCATCGTACAATTCTTTCACTGTGAAACTGCAGCAGCATTCTTCATCAGGGGGCATTCAGTACATGTGAAAAAGGATTAACTAGAATTGTTTATGCAAATCACAATTACGTTCGGCAGTGGAATGTGTGCAGTCTGCTTGAAGGTGCGCATGCCGCAGTGAAAGAAGGAAGTTGTTGTTTTTTTTGAACGTGTGGCCTCAACCATGCCACTCAACCCGCAATCAGGCGATCGTGAAGGGACGAAGGGCTAGTGTTCGCGCATACTGCCAATTTTGGATGCATGGTGGATCACTCGAAAAGCCACCTTACTTATGAAGTCCAGTTGCAACTTTGCCCCCGAATTCATGAAAGTGGCAACCTAGAGAAGCGAAGCTAGAGCCTGAATGCCCAGGACGTTCCTCGACACCCCGGGCCACGCTGCGTTCGAACTCTCGCTGGGATCCCACACCCCCTATCCGGAGAACGTGACTGTCTTGGAGACGTGCAGCAAGTATGGTCGGTTCTTTGAGTTGAACTGCCAATGACAGTTCGAGCCGAAAATAGTGAGAAGACATGTTGCTCTATGCTGAGCTGCTACACCGTTTTCAAGTTTAAGATCCGCCCCGCATTTTTTGCAGCCTCCGTGAGGCGAGGCCGAACAATGGCTGCTGCAGACGCTTGGGACTTGGGACATGACCGATTTCAGAAGAAATGCGCACGGACCTGGTTTGGTCACGTGCGAGGTTGCCCTGGTCGTGATTTCGGCGGAGCGGGGTGCGGAACTTCAGACTGAGGAGGCCAGGCTCCGATTCGGAGCGGGGCTTGCGAATTGGCAGAACGAAGCCCGCCCTTTGACGTGGGAGCAGGTCCTGATGCACGCGTCAAGATGGAAGGCTGGAAACTCTTTTGTTCTCAAGCAGATTCCAATCTTCTTCGGCACCAGAAGCTATGCAGCAGTTTGAACCTGCCCCAAAGTCCTATGACCATTCTCACACCTCAGCGCAAAACTGCCGCCGTTGTCAAACTAAGCGGAAGCTGCATTTGCCAGGTACCCATTGTCTTTGCGCTCAACAAAATGGATCTTCCGGAGCACTGCTGGCGAAGACTTGAGCGCTCGCATCGTTGAAGACACGAGTGCAGGTTGTGTTCTGTGGCCACATCAGATCAGGGAGTGACTGCTTAGAGAGCTACTTCGTGTGGGCTACGCGATCTGCCTTCGAGATTCGGCCGAGTGAGCAGGATGCACGAGTCACAGGCAGATGTCCATTCCTACAGATTGGATGCCCAAATTTGTGTCGACAAATTGTACCCTTTTCGCCTGGTCGTTTCTTAGGATGTGTTGGGTGGAAGAAAACTGGCTTGCTTCACTTCGCGCATCCAAGAGCATTTTGCCAGTTGTAACCTGGAGCTTACTCGAGCCGAGCTTCGACGACAGTGCTGTGCCCTCAGTGAAGCTGTGCTTACGGCGGAGCACACCTGCTTCATGCCAGCATTCAAGAGTGTTTGCTGTAGCGTGCCAGGGAGGCTCGGGAATTTGTGGTGTGGAGGATTGGACAGCGTTCGCAACAAGAACCTAGTCAACCCATGTCAGCCCTTCAAGCATAGGCCAGCTCCTTCATGAGCACGGCTTGGTCGATGTGGACTTGACGCGGGAGGCTTGTACAGGTTCAGTTTCAGTGCGATCAACATCAATCAACTGAAGGTTAGACAACAGTAGAACCTTGCCCTCTGACAGAGTGGACATAGAAGGCGCTAGTTTTTGCATGAGGCATAGACTGCTTTCAGGAACATGCGCTGCACTCGCATGCACGTGTACACACGCATGTATATGCAGATGCACTTGCAGACATAATGCACGCCCGCACCGCACATACGCACCCATGCATGCAAGCACCCATGCACGTGCACGCATGCACGCACATTGACACACGTACACACAGCCATGCAGACGCACGGAATCGCACGGACACACAGATCCGCAGACCCGCAGACACACAGACACACGGAAAGCACTGACGCAGACACGCACAGAGGCACAGACGCACAGATAAACAGACACACAGATATCACATGTGCACGCACACAGAAAGACACACAGACGCAGAGACGCACGGACGCGCAGACCAGAAACGCAGAGACAGACAGACGCACAGCGGAAAAGCGGCAGCACAGACACATAGACACACAGACGGACAGACAGACACAGACAGACAGACAGACAGACAGACAGACGGACGGACAGACAGACAGACAGACAGACAGACAGACCGATAGACAGACAGACAGACAGACA